ATCAACACCTTCAACCTCATAGATTTGGATTACATTGGCCCATCATTTACATGGACTAATAGCCAGCAAGGCTATGCAAAAGTCCTAGAGAGATTAGACAGAGCATTAGCAACCACTTCATAGTGCCTCCTCTTCCTTCACACAATACTTTACAACCTTCCCATCACTTCGTCGGACCATGGACCTATTTGTATAAACACCAACCCATCCTCATCACCTAGAAGACCTCAATTTCACTTCTTACCTTTCTGGACTGAATACTCACAATGCAAAGAAATTATCACCCAATTTTGGGATCAACACTTTAGAGGTTCTGCAACCCATCAAATCACAAAGAAATTGAAAGAATGTAAATCTCAACTTCAGGCTTGGAATAAATCCCAGTTTGGTCTCATTCAATACCACATTCAATCAGTCTCTTCTAAAATATCCAGCATCCAAATGTCCCATATTGATGGGGAGCAACAACAGTTACTAAATTCCCTCAAACAGTAATACCACTATTGGTTGCTGAAAGAAGAACAACTTTGGAGGCTCAAATCTAGAGAACTCTGGCTCAGAGAAGGGGACAAAAATACAAAGTTTTTTCACCGAATGGCCAACTTTAGAAACACAAAAAAATAATGTAGAGTGGTTAAAAGCTGCTGATGGTCACTGGACTTCTAGCCGAGATACCATTGCTCTCACATTCAAAAATGCAGTCTTGAGCACAGGGGGTCAGCCAAAAAGCTTTAATCCCAATCTGCTTGAGAACATTACTCTGCCCATGCTAATTGATCAACAAACTGAAGCTTTACTTCTCCCCCCATACCTTGAAAAACTGACCTTAGTGGTAAAGGAAATGAATCCCCACAAATCGTCAGGTCCAAATGGTTTCACAGTATATTTTTATCAGCATTTTTGGGAAGTGCTCAAACATGGCATTCTTTCCATGGTCCAAAACTTCTTTAATTGTGAGCACCTACCCAAAGAAATAAATAACACAAACATAGTCTTCATCCCCAAAAACAATAAGGCAGTGGATACCTCCAGTTACCGGCCAATCATCTTATGCAATGTCCTCTACAAAATTATATCCAAATGGATGGTGCTCCGTTTACAACCCATTATACAATAGGTGATATTCCCATTCCAATCAGGGTTTCTTAAGGGCAGATAGATCACAGACAATATTCTCATAGCAAAGGAAATCCTTCACAAAATGCAAACCCAAAAAAGAGGAAAGGGTTTTAATGCTCTCAAACTTGATATGCAAAAGGCCTTTGACAGGATGGGATGGTGTTTTCTATACCATGATTTAAAGAAATTGGGTTTTATAGAAAAATGGTGCAACCTGATTCATAGTGCATCTCCATAGCCACCTTCTCAATCAAAATTATAGGAGAAGATTATGAACATTTTCACTTGGAACGGGGGTTGAGACAAGGAGACCCACTATCCCTCTACTTATTCATCATCGGTATGGAGGTCTTCTCACAACTCCTACTCCAAGCTTCTAATACAAGCAGTATTGAAGGTGTTACTTTGTGCCCTAATGGTACTCCTATCACACATCTGCTCTTTGTTGATGATTGCATCATATTCTGCAAAGCGGACATGTCGCAAGTCAAAGCTCTGGTCAACACCATTAAAATGTTTGAATCCTTATCTGGCTAGCAAATAAATTATGCTAAATCCAGCATTTTCTTTAGCAAGAATGTCCCCCGATAACATAGAAAATTCTTCTCTCACTTACTAAAGGTCAAGACACCTATGACAGGGCCCAA